CGCGACGACGCTCGCGAGAATCTGCGTGTTATGAATGTAAGAAAAAAAATATATATGTGTGTGTACGTATATATTCTATATATACAAATATATATATTATATATATATATATATATGGAAAAAAGGAAAAAAAGTCGCGTTCCATTATCTTATCTTTATCGTCTCGCGATATATTGGTCTCGCGGAGAAAAAGTCGATTTCGCGTTTTATGTGTAACGTGGAAGGATTCTAGAAGGTCTGGGCGAGCGATAATTAGTGTAACGGTGTTTCGAGTATAAAAGTTTTTTGCTTTGAATGCTTTGAAAATAAAGTTGAACAAGTTTATAGAACGTGGTGTATCTTGTCGCGATTCTTGCGCGAGTTTGGATGTCGAACACAATGCGATGTTTCGATGATGCCGAGAAAAGATCGCATGTCGATGAATCGTAATTGGAAAAGTTATTTTGGATCCGGTGAGTTTTGGATTTTATTATTATTCGCTCGTAACGAGAGAAATTTGTTTGTTGAATATTGAAAAATTTGAGAGAAAAATTCCGTTCGAGTTATCGAAGATTCAGAGGAGAATTTTTAAATTGAACAATGATATTCTAATAATTAACTATGGATATTTCAAGGTTCAAAGGAGGGAGAGAAATCGATATCTTACGAGATGGAGCTCTAGTTTTCTAGTTGTACATTTAAAAAAAAGCATTGGATTTTCTTTGCATCATTCTTTGATAAATGAAATCACGAAATGTCGAACGCCTCCCAAATCATGATTCATAGCTTCCTTGGGGAACAATATTACTTTTAATATACAATTTGATATTCTCATCGATAGACGAATCACGCCCCTCGATTGATCTTCCTCCTCCCACTTTACACATCCATGTTATCTCGAACAACACTTCATTCACCAGTCTCAAAATTTTTTCGATGTCACTTCAAAAAAAAAAAAAAAAAATGAATGATTAAAAAATAAGAGAATCATAATTCCATACTCGTGGTTTTAAAGGATTATCGACGAAATTGGAGGGAAGGAAGCTGGAAAGAAGGAAGGAAAGAAAATGGCGGGCGAAAGATAATTGGCGGGCAACGTATGCACTTAGAGATAAGGTTTGACGGAGGAAGGAGAGGGGGGAGCAGCGTTGTGCAGCGTCATAAAATTATATATGTTGCACCCCCAACCGCGCGAGGGTGGTACGCACCGTTATAAAGCCCTCTCTCTCTCTCTCTCTCTCTCTCT